ATATATATATATATATATATATATATATATATATATATATATATATATGTATATATATATTGTATACTAATATATGTTGTATGTACCTTGTGTTGGTCTGAGATAACAACCAGTCCATTGCTAACACCAAGATCCAAATCAACAATCAAATTCTCAATGAACCAGGTCCAGTTGTCCTTATTCTCAACATTTACAACTGCCCATGCTATTAGGTAGACATGGTTATCTGCATCCCTCCCAATAGCAGTTAAAATCTCCCCCATTTAGTCCTATCACCCTTCTACATCCTTTGTTCCATCCATCTCTAAAAGCCTTGAAGCCAACATAAACCTCTTGAAATAGTTACACCCCGTATTACTTTCTACCCCACCAAGCAAGTTGTATCCGGACTAGTCAACCTAATTGCAGTTGTATAGTCCCAAACCCTGACATAGTGGTCTTCTAACTTCCTTTCGATCATCCCCATTGCAGTAGCCCTTGCTCTTTGGCATTGCCCAACATATACACTCACTGAGAACCTTTGTAGCACATTTGCTTACATCTCGAGCAATGTCATCTTCGGCTTCATGATTACATCTTTCAGGTAGTGTTTGGCTAACCAATTGCTAGTAACTAGGGAAACAAAGTGATAATTCCTAGCACATAGATGAATTTCATTACATAATTTAATATGGAATATCCTTTCATTGTACTTCCATCCAGCTGCAACCCTAAATGGACACTGCATTTTTTTTATTGACACTATATTTTTTTTATTGTCAATGCTTCAACTACCACACTTAGCTATAACCCTCACTCTACGACTTTTTTTCAAAATAAAGTTGATATCCTCCATGGACTGCATAGTTAGTTAAAGCAAACCTAAGTTGAGTAGGGGATTCATAACAGTCTCCTAATCGGGGCCTCATCTCTTTCCAATCAACATTGGGATCACGCATCCTATACTCGACGCCATCATCTTTATCGTCATCATCTAAGTGGGCATGCTCATTTTGTTGGCCACCAGGAATGTCTCCATCATGTATCATTCCATGAATACTCCTCCTTAATATGTTTTCGTCACACACTAAGTTAAGAAAAGGATCATCACATAGTTTTGAGGGGGCTTTGAAAGTTTCTTTAGAAAAATCCAATAAGCTAAAGTCAAATGCTTCATCATCGGAGTAGGAGTTTGGAAGGTATGTCTTCTCGGGGAGCTTAGGCCCTTTAGGCTTCTTAGTTCCAGAAGTAGTAGGCTTCTTAGTTCTAGAAGTAGAAGCCATCTGTTTCATAAAAAAAAACAACTTGTTAGTTCAAACTTGGAGCTCCATACTCCATAGACGAAGATAACCACCCTCAGAAGCATCAAGTTCTTGTTTCCATACACATACCTTTTACTCCACCTTACTTCACCAAAGATTTCGGAGCTTCAAAATGCGAAATTGGGGACTGTGAAACCCTTCTCAGCGTCAAACCCTTCTCGAACACATGAAACCCTTTATCGGTGATGGTTCGTGAAAGGTGATGGATAGGGAATAAGTTAGTGGTGATCGGATAGTACAGGTTACCTGCTCGTCATCGGGTACTAGCTCTCAAGTGATAATTCCATAAAAATATCGTGTCCATAGTCAACAAAAAATTAAAATAAGAGCTTTTTCCAATTTAGTGGCAAAAACATTGGACTTTTTTGATATTAGTCCTTGTTTTGTGTATCCAATAAGTAGGTTGTCTCATAGGTGGAATGCTTAGTGCCATTTATCATATAAACACGGGTATGCTTATATCTATTCTTAATCGATGTGAGAGTTGTTTCAAACTGACATATAGTTTAACTTGTATTTCATTTTAGGACTACCAAATAGAATGCATTATTAAGATGATTGTCCTTTAGACCTTAAGAAATTAGAATCGTCGGAGAAGGAGGAGCTAGCAGAGATAATGCGTTGTTGGTCATGGAAGTGTTGCCGGAGAAGCAAGCTTCGTCGGATCCCCTGTTCTTCCATTTTTGTGACATGCAATGGAGGACTAGAACATACCTAGAGAGGAGGAGGTGAGATGGAGTCTCAGCCTGTTATAGAGGATTAAGTGACCTAATTAACAGGTAAAAACGGAATTTAAGCCCTTAGACTACCAAAAAAATATAGATGTTTTAAAACAAAAACAAAAAATTTGTAGGACTAAAATGACATTTACCCTTAAATTAATAAATTAATAGTAGGAGGTCACAATGGTCCGTGTTGATTTGTTTTTCAAAATCTATTGACTTTAATAGAAAATTAAAAATAAAATATAATGCTTAAACCAATAAGCAAAATATGATGGCTTTTTGTTGTTAGCCCTATGAAAACCCTAAAATAATATGATTTTTGTAAAAAAAAAAAAAAATTACTAAAAAAATACTCGCAAAAGAACCGCGAGCTTGAGAAATGAATACTCTTGAACTTACAGTTCAATTTAGCGAGTGCTTTTGTCTTGCTTTTTGTTAAAAAAAAACATGACGAATTTGTGGATATAGTTTTTACAATTTTATTGTTTATATTGTGATGAACGATTAAAAAAGATAGTCACCCCAAAACGTGGTCATTTTAATTAGTTTCTAAACCTAACTACTACATAAATTTGTTTATTAAATATATAAACTTTAGTGAAATAAACTTTACAAAAATCAAATTCTAGAAAAGAAAATTATAAGTTAACCAATAACAAAAAAAGTAATAATACAAAGTTTTTATTATTTCCAAACACATGGCGTTATTACATCTTATATTTTTACATTATTATTAAAATTGATGAGGTAAAAACTTATAGGTGTCATTACCATTCTCATCTATCTTTATATAATCCACAATCGCAGGAAACCGTAACCCTGACCGATATCTCATGGACAAAAAGATTACATTTAAACTTCAGTCTCTATCTATATAATAACAGAAAAGGTACACTTAAGCTTAGCTTGCATAGCTACACATGCTGAAGTTAAGAAGAGATCATGCATATGCCATTAGACTTGAGATCCTTAATTAAGGGACATGTACAATATCAATATGAATTTTATAATCACAGTCAATGACAGTTGTCCACATGTGCCCCCCGGGATTTTTTATTATTTTTTATTTATTTATTTATTTTTATTTTTTTTTATCTGTAAGGGCATGTAAAACACATGTTTCCGATATTAATTAATTACTATCTATCTCTGTATCAAATAAAGTAATTTTCAAATAATAACATGTTAATATTATTACGATTTATTTAATATTGCCATTTTTTTCAAACTTTAACGCATTTATATATCCACTAGTTTTCCTTTACATAATGACACTCATTTGGTTCACTTATGCTTAATCTTGATCATAGCATGGTTTTGAAAGTCTATTGTTAATTAGTGGTATTTTATCATAAAAATGTCTTTTTTTTTTCAAGTTTCAAAAGAATTCTATTATTTGGTTTTAGCTTCTAAATGTATTCCATCTGCAGGACATAGAAAACAAATTAAGTACAAAATACCACACATGTAAATTACAAAGATTAGTTTTCTTTGATCTCTTATAAGTTATAACACGTCTTAGAGGAAGAAAATAAAATAAAATTAGATATTTATAAATATAAGAGTAAATTACATGATTCGTCACCGGTTTACGTGTCAAATTATGTGTTTAGTCTTTATTTTCAAATTTTAACTCGGTCTATCATTGGCTAGTTTAAAAATTGCACGCTTCATCTCTTCCGAGATGAAATGACTATATTCTATAGTAATGGGTCATTCCGGAGTAATGTCCGAAATATGTTTTTCCCGTCTGAAATATACAAGTGTTAAATTCTGAACCTTTTACCTACCACCCAAAATCAACTCTACAATGATCATAAGTGCTCTAAAATGCTATATTTTATAGTAATTGGTCATTTTATAAATTTTATAAAATGTTGATTACTGTTTTCAAATAATTATAATTTATATGGGCTAGATTAATTAATATCAAATTCTTTTATCACCCACCACCAAAATGCTAGAGTCTACTCCATAGGGTGTTTTATGCTTGAGATTTTATTTTTGAAGTTAAAAAGTTTTCTTTATCCAAAAGAATTTATTGACTTGTAACAACAAGTCTTCCTGATTTACAAGCTCAAGTTTCGTAAGGCATCAAGAAACAATAACAAAATGCTGTATAAGAAAAGAGGTTAATTGGCTCTTCTGCAGTTGACCCTAATTTCTCCATTGTGGCCAGTTATAGCGCCAACATTGCCCATCTTCACCATAGCACTTGCAAAATCACTAAAGAAAATAGACGGATTCGACCCATAGGTCCTCACTTGTGCGTCAGTTGAACCCCCATTAAATAGTTCTTGGTCCGAATGCAATAATCCTTTCTGGTTAAGCAAATCATTATAGTATCTATTATCGAAAAACGTTGATGAAGCGTCTAGTGGAGAGAGATTATTGTCACCTCCAGCCGAAGGACAATTTGCTTTCAATGATGTCGCAAATGATGGATCTATGTTGTTTTCGTTGTAGAGATGATCACGGAAATTGGTGCATCTTGCTTGACCAATTGTATGAGCTCCTGCGTACAAACATGCATATATAATTGGTGATGAGTCGTGTATTCAACTCACATGGTAAAGAATAATATCGGTTTATTACAAATATTTGGTAATATTATTTACATATCTTCATATCCCATTGACCCATTTTAATTATATATAAAAGCAACTTACCAGAGAGAGCTACCATTTCGTTAGCAGTAAATCCTTTTGTTGCAAAGGATGAGATGAGATCGCTAAGACTTGAAGTAGGTAAAGGGATGTCGGACTTTGCTGCATTTAGGCTTGCTGTTGTGGAATCCCTTCTTCCAAATGAAACACTCCAGCTTGGCCCACCAAGCTGAATATCATACAAAAATATTACTGTAATTAACTTCACTTCATACTCGAGAAAAACTAATTAGTTTCTGTTTTTAAAAGGAAAAAAAAAGCCTACTCTCCGGATGTGACCAATTAAAAAAACAACTCAAGTACTGGATGACTCAGTTTGATGATCTCTAGGATTATAACAAAAAAAAGATTTCAAGTACACACTGCAAGTTAAGTTGTAGAGAAATTAAAGAACTGATTTAAATTACGTTGGAATTAAATTTTCTGCTTACAGCCACAACCGAAGCTTGAGCAGCAGCAGATAATATATCTGCACAAGAAACGACACCAGGGCACTGGAACTCCAATTGGGTTTTAATAGTATCAATCACGTCGAATCCTCTCGCTGAATTGCTAATTTGACTCGCCGACTTTTCCCCCGTAAAGTCTTCAGTGTCGTCCAGTAACACAGATGCATCACATCCCTAAATATTTCGAAGCAAAATAATTAATATGGAGATTTATCTCTTATCTTCAACTAATAATAAATTGTTTTTCTAAGGATAAAACAAAAACTTTTTGTTTTCATTTGACCCCTTAGAGAATTAAGTATTTGTTCTTCATTTATGCTCACAACTCACAAGCGAAGGAATTGAATAATCAAACGGTTACAAACTACATGTTAATTATCATTATTATATATGCATTTGATGGTGTAAGATAGGCCTAAATAACGTGACACAAGTTAACCTAAGTAAGTGTTCCCATGGGGAATGTAGTATTAGAAAGTCGGAGACTTGCATTTACAAAGCAATCAAGGAAATGGAGTCGAAGCAACGAAGCTCCCATGCGAGATTCCTGTAAGATAGCTGAAGTCACCGCTGCTGTCACAATAGGAGTGACCATAGGACACGTTAAAGAATAGAACGAGGGTGATAGCTGACCCGAAGTAGTCCCAAACAGAACCCATAAAGATAACGTAAAAGTAAAAATCTTAAACAAAGAAGAAAAGGTTGATGAAGTCATGAGTATGACAATTTCAACTAGTAGAGAACGTTTGAGAAAAGAGGGTCTGTCATCGTCTATATATAAGCAAACAAAGGTTGTTTGTTGTGGGCTGGGGGCGGGGGTTTTCAATATATATTACATACTTTAATGGTGATGATATTATCAACAATATTAATTATTCATGATTTATTGAGTTCTATTGAGTTCCTATTATTTTTTTCTAAAATATATTGAACTCAACAAGTTAAATAAGACATATTTCAAAACAAATATATATA